GCAGTAGTAATAGAAGGAGCAGCAGTAGCAGCGCGGGTAGGGCAGGCGCGGCAGGCAGGCAGGCAGGCAGGCAGGCAGGCAGGCAGGCAGGCAGACAGGCAGGCAGGCAGGCTGGCAGGCAGGCAGATGGCGCGGCAGCGCGCTAACAAGGCAGGTGCTCACCAGGCGGGAAGGGCAGGCGCTCGCCGGGCGAGCAGGGCCGGCGCTCGGCGGGCGGCTGCACGGGGACCAGGGGCGGCGTCGCGGGTCCATGGGCGGCGTCGCGGGGTCCAGGGGCGGCTGCACGGAGTCCAGGGGCGGCTGCACCAGGGGCGGCTGCTTCAGGAGCCCGGGGCGGCTGCTCGGGTTCCAGGGGCGGCTGCGCCAGGGGCAGCTGCTGCAGGGGCCAGGGGCTGCTGCTCTGGGTCCAGGGGCGGCTGCTCGAGGGTCCAGGGGCGGCTGCACCAGGGGCGGCTGCTTCAGGGGCCAGGGGCGGCTGCTCTGGGTCCATGGGCGGCTGCTCGAGGGTCCAGGGGCGGCTGCACCAGGGGCGGCTGCTTCAGGGGCCAGGGGCGGCTGCTCTGGGTCCAGGGGCGGCTGCTCGAGGGTCCAGGGGCGGCTGCACCAGGGGTGGCTGCTTCAGGGGCCAGGGGCGGCTGCTCTGGGTCCAGGGGCGGCTGCTCGAGGGTCCAGGGGCGGCTGCACCAGGGGCGGCTGCTTCAGGGGCCAGGGGCGGCTGCTCTGGGTCCAGGGGCGGCTGCTCGAGGGTCCAGGGGCGGCTGCACCAGGGGCGGCTGCTTCAGGGGCCCGGGGCGGTTGCTCCAGGGGCGGCGTAGCTGGTGCAGGGCAGCGCGTGGGTCCCACAGGTGCCGTGACGGGCGACGGGGGGCAGCGCGCCGTCACCGGAGAAGGTGACGCGTGGGGCCGGCGGCAGGCTGCGCGGGCGGCTGACTTAGCGCGCGGGGCCGAAAACGGGCTACGCGGGCGGCGGACGCGGCGCGCAGGGCCTAAGCGGGCTGCACGCGGGCGGCTTACGCGACGCGCGGACCGGCGGCAGGCTGCGCAGGCAGCTGACGTGGCGCGCGGGGCCGAAAACGAGCCTAAACCGGCTTAAATGAAGAGCGCGCGGGCTGCTCAAGCGGCGCGCGCGGGAAAAAAAAAAGGGCCGCGCGCGTGCAGCCGAGGCGCGCGCGGGCAGCAGGCAAGGCAGGTGAGGAAACGTGGTAACGGTGGGCCCTTATCTTAGGTCCTAGAGACCTCTAGGCTCCAGATACCATCTTATAATCTTAGGCATGAAGTTGTGTGATTGAGTAGGTCAAGGGGGGGTACAAGAAGAATGTCGAGAGAAATATTGTACCCCCTAGTGCTAACCCCCATATAGCCTAGACAACCTAAACATAACATATAAATATAACTTGACAAGAGAGAGAGGAATCCCTTAGCCCTCTGCCCTCTGCCTCATCCCTCTGCCCTCTGCCCTCCAGAGCTATTTAAGGGCTGTCTCACCCTCCTTCTCCTCATTATTTTGTGTGGAGTTCATTTTCGGCGGCTCGCGCCAGAGAGAGAGAGAGGAATCCCTTAGCCCTCTGCCCTCTGCCTCATCCCTCTGCCCTCTGCCCTCCAGAGCTATTTAAGGGCTGTCTCACCCTCCTTCTCCTCATTATTTTGTGTGGAGTTCATTTTCGGCGGCTCGCGCCGGTGGCCTTCGGCCGCCGCCGCTCGCTTGCGCGGCCTTCGGCCGCGCGCTCCTGGTGGCAAGGATTTCAAGCGACAGCATCGGAATAACGGGGTTCAAGCACACATCAACAGGAAGGGAGAGGGGATCAACCTAAAAGGGCGACATGCAATACTACACGCGGTGGAAGCCTACATCGTGTACGGCTCCGCCCCCTCCACCTCAAGCATCGAACGCATGCACGTCGACACCGCCAGAAGGAGCTGCGCCGACGACTGAAGCGTGCGCACCGGGGTCCCCTCTTGGGCGGCAACAAGAAGATCCTCCACGTGGCGGGGGAAGGTACGCGCTAAGGGCGCTACCCCGGCGGGCGCTTCCGACACGGGAGCCAATAGCGGGGCGAGGGCTTCTGCCCAGGTCGCGCACGATCCTCGGGGACCTGGAGCGAAACTGCCCGGAGAGTTTCGCATAGCCCCACACACCGCCATCTGCAGGTTCGCCACCACCTTGCACGCCTCCGCAAGATTCAGCGTCCGGCACATGGTCAGCATGGGGTCTCTCCCCGCGCGAGTGGGGGGAGGTGCAATCGGAGCCTCACGCTGATACGCTGTCTCCCGGCCCGGAAGTCGGCCTCCCGAGAAGGGCTGCGCGGAGAAGCCAGGGACCTGCCGAGGGGTGCGGAACAGCGCCCTCCCCTCCCGCGCGGGCAGATACTCGCTCAATACCGGCGCGCGCAGAGGGGCCGCGACGTCAGGGGCTAGGGCGTGAGAATGACCGTTGGTCACCTCGATGTGGACGTGAGTTGGCTCACCAGTCGCTCGCGCCTGGCGTATCGCCGCTGCAAACACATTCACGGCTTCACCAACCGCAGGATCCTCCCCGCGACCAGCTCCGCCGCGACCCGCTCCATTCCGCCGACCCCGACGGCCACCAGAGCCCGCCGAGTGCGGACGCGGGGGGGATTGCTCGCGGCGCCCAGAATCCTATCGTCGCCCAGGAGAACCCCTCCCCCACCTCGCCGGAGATCGACGCGGAGAGCGCTGCGCGGGGGATCGCGCTCGCGGTGAGCGCTGGGCTGCCCGATCTTGGGGAGATCGGTGACGGGGAGAGCGGGGGCTCGCAGGCGACAGCTGATCGCCAGCTCCGTGGCGGCGAAGCTCGCGTTGACCAGGAGAGCGACGCCGAGGGGAACGTTGCTGCTGGGGCTGGCGCTGCGGCGATCGCCCACGCTCATGAGGCGGCTGTCCAACCGGACGATTCGACCCAACGCGGGCCGGCGCCCACGAATACGCAGGAGAGTTTGGGCGCGCGCTCACCTGATGAGGTAGAGACAACCCGCGCTCAAGACGCCACACGGGCTCAGACGCGGATGGCTGCGCAGGAGCGCGGAGACGGGGGGCAGCGGGCGCCTGAGGACGGGGGCCTGCGCTGTCCGCCGTACTCTCTTGCGCGCGGTCGCGACCCGCGGAGGGGTCCATCACGCCCGAACGAACCGCCGCGGACGCCAGCGGGCCGTCAAAGGAGGGGCCTTGGTACCGCCTCGGCGCCACAACCGACACGCAATATTGCAGCGGCGGCCTCCGCGCAGCACGGAATCCGCGTAGGAAGAGGAGGGAGACGGGGTGGTCGTAGAGGAGGCGCTGCGGTTCAACGACGGGGCGCTAGTAGCTTCGCGAGGGCTGCTCACAGGATCCTGAGGGGAAGGGCTAGAGATGGGGAAGAATCGAGTGACGAGAACTCTGTGGGTGACCCTCTATTTAACCCTGAAAGAGAGGGTAGCCCCAGTCCCCCCCCCGAGTTAGAAGAGGCAGAGCAGGCTCGAGATGTGGACCGAACTCCAACACCGAGCCGAGCCGCATCTGCAATCCGAATTGGAAGACAGAGCCGAGTCGGGGGGGGAAACCGAGCCGCACAAATTGCAGATGGCACCCCAACTCGGGCCAATCAGCAGAGTGCAGATGCACCCACAGGCCTGCCCCTGTTCAGTGCAGGCGACCTGGCAAAACGCCAGGACCTTTTCGCTGATGTCGCAACTTGGGACCTACACCCCCTTCGCGACAGCAGGCAACCACCTCTCGCCCGTCACCCACCTCGCACTCTTCGCGAATCTTTCGCAGCCTGCCTTCTCACCCCGCTGCTACACCTCGCAAAAGACCCTGACTCGCCCGCAGGCTGGAGACTGCTCATGTTCCTCCCGCGCATCCTCTTGCGCACCTCATCAGCCAAGCGCCCAGATTGGTCGAAGGTAGGAGCCAGGCTGATAAGGTTCCGCCAAGGCCAGTGGCGGAGCTTGTACGACGAGGCGACTGACGCAGTATCCCAACCACCCCAGCCACGCCATGCGCCAGATACCACAGGCATCCTGGCAAGGGCAGAGGGACTCGCCAAACGAGGGAACCTAGCAAAATCCCTCCAATCCCTCACGGCCACGCCAGTCTCCCCCCCCTCAACTGACGTGCTTCGGGCTCTCTCAGCTCGACACCCCCCTGCGCGCCAATCCATCCCGGAGTGGGTGCCGGATTTCACCACAGAGTGCACCCCTTCAATCCCTCCACGCGACTTCAGACGCATTCTCGCCAAATGCCCGAACGGAGTGGGCGCTGGTCCCTCGGGGACCACCTTCGAACACCTGAGGGACGCAGCACTTGGGAATACGGACATCTTCCTGCAATTGCACGCACTCACAAACACGGCGTTAGCCGGAAAACTCAGCGCGGAAGCAGCAGAACTCCTCACTGCGTCACGCTTACTTGCTTTCACGAAGCCCCATGGGGGCACACGACCTATAGCAGTAGGCGAATGCCTGCTCAGATTAGTAGCAAAAGCGGCTCTATTCTTGGCGGCTGAGAGAGCACGCGATCACTTCGCACCGCTGCAATTCGGGGTGGCGGTAGCAGGAGGCATCGAGGCGGCGATGCACACGGCAAGGACATACCTGGAGGAGAATGACGGGGCTGTGGCGCTACAAATCGACCTGGCAAACGCATTTAACGCGGTCGAGCGGGCAGCAGTGTTCGAAGGCCTCAAGGGGACCACCCTGGAATTCATGGTGCCCCTGGTCCGGCTCTGCTATGGTGTCCCCTCGGAACTGCACCTCGACCACGTGTTTCATGCCCCCCCCCTACAATCCGCACGCGGCGTACGCCAAGGGGATCCGCTGGGCCCGCTCCTCTTCGCCGCCAGCATTCACCCGTGCCTGGTAGCCGCGGCGGAGGCGCACCCAGGAGTCGTCATCCTCGCCTACGCGGACGACATTACGCTCCTGGGGGAAACTGAGGCGTGCACAGAGGCATTCAATCACCTCACCAGGGCGCTGCTTCCCCTAGGCCTGGAACACAACCCCGAGAAGTGCGCAGCATGGTCGGCTGCGCACATTGACCCCGCCTCTCTTACGCCGCATGTACCTTTCTCGGCGGACGGGATCCGCGTCCTGGGGAGCCCAATAGGCCCGCAGGCGGGATGCGCGGCGCTGGTACAGGAGCGCCTGTCAGCAGCAGCAGAGCCACTTCCGCTACTGTCACAAATGGACCCGCAGCTGTGCCTGCTACTCCTAACACGGTGCGTGAGCCGCCGCGCCTCCTACCTTGTCAGAACGACGCCCTTGGAGGTGCTGCCAGCGGACACCTGGTCAGAGTGGGGGGAGCAGCTGCTACACACTTACCTGACGGCGGCACACACGACGATACCCAGGGAGGAAGAAGAGCGGGGGAGAATCTGGCGGCAGGCCGCCCTGCCCGTGACGCTGGGCGGCCTCGGCATCACCAACCCAGCCACGGAAGGGGTGTTCGCTTACCTAGCCGCGATCATTTCCACGGCCCACCTGCTGCGCTCGTTCGGCGACACGTTGCACCCCTCAATCGCCCAGATGCTGCCGCTACTAGATGCAGACGCGAACTCACCCTCGGTCCTGCCAAGGCGCCTTGCAGCGGCAGAAGCCACGCTGCCCCCAGATGGACTAGAAGCTCTACAGGCCGGCCGACGCGGGACGGATGGCCCGAAGCTACAGCAGGCCTTGTCGCTGGCCGTCCACACAGCCCGCTATATTGAGGTGCTCGATGCCTCACGGGAGATGCCCCTGAACCCGCTCTACGGCCACACCCAACGCCTGCAGTCACTCCTCGGCCCCGGGGCGGGAGATTGGCTGCTAGCCATCCCCCTGGTCCCGGCTCTTCGCCTCGGCCCCTCGCAGCACTCCACTGCATCCTCCTTCCGCCTAGGCCTCCCCCTTCCCGTCCCTCGGCGCTGCGACTGCCGCCACCGCACGACCTTCCCTGACCACCGCCTACCCAACCACCTCATGCGTTGTGAGAAAGGCGGGGGGAGGATTGCCACTCACCATGCTCTTCGGGATGAGTGTGCGAAGATCGCAGCAGAGGCAGGCTACACGGTGCACAAGGAATCCACAGTGTACTCACCGGTCGAAAACCTCAAAGCGGACGTTTGCATCCGCCATCCCGACACCGGCGAAGTCCACATGTGCGACATCACCGTGACGGACCCGGTCTCTCACCAGGACGAGTTTGCGCGGAAGGCGCCTGGGTGGGCTGCAAAAATGCAAGCCGCCAAGAAAGAAGACAAGTACGCGCGGCAGAACGCGTGGGTGTGCTTCCATGCCATGGCGGTTGAGACGTACGGCTACCCGTCCCCGAGAGTGCACGCCTTCCTCCGCAGCTGCGCCGAGCTCGCGGGCAAGCGGCGGTTCAACGCTGCGCCAAAGTCAAGGGAGGTGGCCAGGCTCCTTACGAAGTACCGTCAGCGCTGGAGTGTGACACTCCAGCGCGCCCAGGCCAATGCCCTTCGCGACAAGACCCACGAGGCCATTGCCGCGGATGAGCTTGGCCTGCAAGGCCCGTTTGGCAGCTTGGGTGAGGAGCAGCTGTACCAGCTGCTGGAAGACCCCACAGGCCAGTAGGGCCGTGGGGAGAAGGGGTAGGAGTGGGATGAGTAGTGGTACCTTTGTGTGTTTTCTTGGTTGTTGGCTTGCCTGTTTGTCGTTTGATTGCTTAGACTAGCTTAGTACCCAGGTCTGTACCTTGATGATACTAATACGAAGGACCGTTCGAGAGAGAGAGAGAGAGAGAGAGAGAGAGAGAGAGAGAGAGAGAGAGAGAGAGAGAGAGAGAGAGAGAGAGAGAGAGAGAGAGAGAGAGAGAGAGAGAGAGGATACCTGGTTTAGGGTTTAGGATGGATGGGCTTGCTCTGAGAGCTAGGTGTGCTTAGGATGGATGGGCTTGCTCTGTTTGCTTGTTTAGTTCTGGTTCCCTGGCTGCTCCTATGTCTAGGCAAGCTAGTTACCACCACCTGCCATGCCTGTACCTTGTGACCCATATCAATGCATGACTGCTTGAGAGAGAGAGAGAGAGAGAGAGAGAGAGAGAGAGAGAGAGAGAGAGAGAGAGAGAGAGAGAGAGAGAGAGAGAGAGAGAGAGAGAGGGTTGAGGTGCAGGAGACGCCGAGGGGCGAGGCGGCGGCGGCTGCGGTGGAAAGGGAAAAGGGAAGCGTCGCAGCGGCGAATGCGTCGGTGGAGGTGGTGGGGGAAGTGGCTGCTGCCGCGGAGGTGCCAGCGGAGGCTGTGACGGCAGTGGGGCGGGCTGGCGGAACTGCCGCCGCTTTTGGCGGCGGCTCAACTTCACCTTCTGCCAGCCACCAGGGGGCACAACAGCAGACGCTGGAGCTGGGTCTGGTGGTGGATCGGGAACCGTCTGAGGCGGTGGCGTTGTTTGCGTCACCGGCGCCGGTGCCGGCGGCGGTGTTGGCTGCGGCGGTGACTGCTGCGACCGCGGCAGGGAACCTGGCCGACGCCCCAGTCGAGGGGGAGGTATCGGTGGCCGTTGTGAGCGCCGGAACATCTGCTGCTGCCGAGGGCGCAGACACGCAGGAGCGCGACCAGGCGGCGAGCGGAAGACGGGGTCACGGGACCGGCGCCCCTGGGCGCGCCGCTCGCGGAAAGGGCGGGAGGAAGCTCCGTGCCCAGCCAGCGCCGAGGCGGCCCGGAGCAGGGCTGGGGCCTGGCGCCCCGGGTCCCCTCCGGGGCTGGAGTGAGCAAGAGCAGTCGCCACTATCGCCAGAGCATCAACCTCCATCTGTGGGACAAGAAAGAGGGGAAGGCGATGAGGAAGCTGACGTCAGGCACGTGGCAGGACACATCGCCCCGGAGGCAGCGACTACACAAGGCCCACAGCGGAAAACACGGAGTTCCACCCGCTCACAAAGAATTACCTGGGGCCGTCCGAGGTTGGGATTGGCGAGACAGACACAATCACCGTGGATCCCGGCGGGAAGAGCGCCACAGGCTGGGCGAGGGGGGCGGAATGACGAGAGCCGGACCGGGGAAGGAGCGCCGATCCGTGGGGCCCGAGGCGGGGGACGCGGGGCAAGAGGTGGAAGAAGGGGCGCAATCGTCGGCGGAAGGGAGGCGCTTGTGAGGTCAGGAACATGGCGGGAACGCCATGACCGCCCGGAGCAGGAGACACCACCAACGAATCAGGAGGATGGGGACACTGGGAATGGGGAACACGGGGGGGATTATGTAGCAGAGACCCCCGAAACCTCCGAAGAGATCTCGCTGGAAGAGGAGGGAGACACGACAGGAAGAGAGAGGGGACGGAGAGAGATTGGGAGAAACCCCCAGGACAGAAACCCCGGGGAGAGAAACCCCCAGGAGAGAAACCCCCACGAACAGGGAGAGATCGGAGGAGTAACGAGTGAGAGCCAGAGAGAAACCGGGCAACCCAATGTACAGTCACCGGCCAAGCTGGCGGCAAACGAGGCCATTTGGCAGCAGGCAACCACGTGGGAAGTTGCCCCACTTCAGCGGGGGGACCAACCTTTCTTGGTTCGGAGGATGCCACCCAAAATTTTGGAAAGCTACACCCTCTGCGTGCTGGCACCACTCCTACGCCTGCAGAAATATCCCGACTGTTCAGGTGCATGGGTGATCCTGCAATTCCTCCCGAGGCTGACCTTGCGGCCCCTTCCCGAACCAGTTGAGGGAAGTCGGTGGATCGGAATTGAGGGAAGGTTGCACCAGTTCCAGCAGGGCAGCTGGGCGGAACTCTTCGAGGAGGCTAAGGACATCCCCGATACGGAGAACCCGTCACGCCACCAAGTCGATGACGCTGGACTTTGCGCTAGGGCGGAAGGACTTATGAAGAAGGGTAACATCTCGAAGGCAGTTGCAGCGTTACGCGCAACCCCACTTGCCGAGGCCACACCAGCGACACTCGCTGCACTGCAGGCGAAACACCTCGATGTTGCATCGCCCCCGGCAATGTTCGTTTCCGGCTACACCCGTTCAGAGCTGCGGGTAACACCAGATGACCTTCGCGAAATACTCAAGCGTTGCCCGAACGGAGTGGGAGCAGGCCCATCAGGTACTTGCTTCGAACACCTCAAAGACCCTGCGCTCGCGAGTGAGGAGGTGCTCATACTCCTCGCACAAATTATCAGCTACCTCCTTAGCACCTTCCAGACCCAGGCGGTCCGTGATTTGCTTCTGCCCTCGAGACTCATCGCTCTGGAAAAACCGGGAGGAGGCGTTAGGCCCATCGCGATAGGAGAAGCAATACTTCGCGTAGTGGCAACGGCGGCTTTGAGGGAACTAGCATAGACCATTCGCGAGTACTTCCTCCCCGTACTGTTTGGGGTGGCAGTCACTGGCGGCGCAGAGTGCATCGTCCACTCAGTCCGATCACTGCTTAAGGAGGACGAGAGCCGAGTAGCACTACAGCTTGATATTGAGAACGCCTTCAACAGTGTCGAACGGCCGGCATTCTTTCAGGCGCTCTCGTAATCGAGCCTGTTATCACTCCTACCCCTCGTACGCACGCTTTATGACGGCCCGTCTCGGCTTCTAGTGGACCACAAGCTTTGCGTCGATCAGATCATGAGCAACCGAGGAGTTCGTCAGGGGGATCCGCTTGGTCCGCTCCTCTTCGCAACGGCAATCCAACCGACACTTCTGAGCACCGCAACGCTCCTCCCCGAGGTGGCGATTGTCGCCTACGCCGACGACATCACCATTGTGGGCCCTCGGGACGCGGCCTATGAGGCTTTTGTTACCATCACAAGGGAGCTCCGATCGGTTGGCCTCCGCTGCAACATCGCCAAGTCCTCGGGGTGGGGACCGGATCCGGAAGGGGGGAATGAGATCCCACCACCGCAGAGCCTGCCCATGAACACCAATGACATCGGAGTTTTGGGAAGCCCGATCGGCACAGCTGATTTCTGCACAGGCCAGGCACAGACAAGCCTCACAGAAGCGGCCGCACCGCTGCCCCTGATTGCTCAGCTGCACCCACAGCATGCTATGCTAATACTCTCGTGGAGCATTTCCCGCAGGATATCGTACCTGCTGCGGACCACCCCGGCTGCAGTGCTGGAGAGGGAGGAGTGGAGGTCGTGGAGCGAGACTCTGATGGCGACAGCCCTGACGGCAGCAAAGCTACGGGTCCCAGCGAGTGAGCTGGAACAGAGCCTACTGTGGCGGCAAGGAACCCTTCCCGTCAGGCTGGGGGGGCTAGGCATCATTGACCCTACCTCGGAGGCACCGGCAGCCTACATCGCGTCAGTAATGGCAGCCCACACCCTACTGCGGCAGATGAACCTGCCAGAGGCGTACCTGCTGAGGAGGGCGGTCACACGGCTAGACCATGCGTGGAGCCCTGCCCCACCTGGAGTCAACCAGCTAGCCCCACTGGAGGCAGCCCTGCCGGCAACAGCACGAACTGCACTACAGGCGTTCAGGGAGCAGCCGGTAGGACAGGGCAACCTTCAGCTACTACTCTCCCGCCACATCCACGAGAGACGGGCAGCGGAACTGCTGGCTGACACGATCACAGACCGCCCAGGCACACACCGCGGGCACGCCATCCGCCTCATCAGCCTGCAGGGGGTGGGGGCGGGGGACTGGCTATATGCCGTGCCTTCGAGAGCTGACCTTACATTTGCCCCTGGTCAGTTCTCCTTGGCGCTGGGGTTTCGCATGGGCATGTCCCTGCCGGTCACTGAGAAGTGTCCCTGCAAGAGAGAGTATTCAGACATCAACGACGCGAGTCTGCCGAACCATCTCCTTAGGTGCGGGTACGGGGGCGACGTCGTTAGAACGCACAACGCGCTAGTGTTTGCAGCCCTCAGGATGGCAAGGGAAGCGGACTTCACGTGCTTCCATGAGACATCAGCTTTTTCCCCACCGATCCTCAGGAAGAGGGGAGACCTTGCGATTCGAGACAGGGAGTCAAACGAGACCTGTGTTACAGACGTGACAGTGACTGACCCTGTGCTCCAGCAGCGCGACACCAGGGCACGGAAACCACCAGGATGGGCGGCTGAGGAGGCCTCGGCTAGGAAGCACAGGGAATATGAGGATCGGCCAGACTACGTCGGCTTCTTTGGCCTCGCAGTTGAGACGTATGGGGCTCTGTCCTCGGACACACAGGAGTTCCTACGGCTACTGGCCACCTCAGCAGCCAAGAAGAAGTACCGCCAGGGGAAGTTGACAACGACGACTGCACGGCTCACCGCACACTACCGGCAGCGCTGGTCTGTGATGCTGCAGCGCTCCCAGGCGACGTCCTATCTGAACAAGTCAAACCTCTCTGATGACGCAGCGTTCCCCCAGGCTGCTAGGGACCCTTGGGAACCTAGCCTGGGGGACCTCTGGCAAGTGCTGGAGGATGAGCTGGAGGTGGTGATGGCTCAGTAGGTAGGAGTAGGTGTAGGCCAGTGATGTAGCCATGGCCTGCTTGCCGCATGCTTGGCCTGAATGGCCAGCCTGCCTAGACTGCTGGTCGTGCTTGGCCTTGCCTTACAACACCCTGCTTTGCTGGTTTGCTGGTTTGCCTTGTCGGCGCCTCCTGCCTCACCGGCTTGTCTGTGTGCAGATGTCCTGCTTGTTTCACGCTCCTGCCATGCATGATTAGTAGCCCCAATGCCTAGGCCTGTCTAGCTCTGTTCCTGCCATGCCTGTACCCCTATGAACCTATCAATGAAGGACTGCTTGAGAGAGAGAGAGAGAGAGAGAGAGAGAGAGAGAGAGAGAGAGAGAGAGAGAGAGAGAGAGAGAGAGAGAGGCACCTAGTGACTTAGCCTCTCAAGCCTCCCCTAGCCTCCCTAGCCTCCCAAGTCCTAGTATAAAGGCCTCAGCAGGCCTTGTGGCCTCTTCATTATTCATTTGTGGGCCGGATTTTTTCGCTCGTTCGAGAGAGCAAGAGAGAGAGAGAGAGAGAGAGAGAGAGAGAGAGAGAGAGAGAGAGAGAGAGAGAGAGAGAGAGAGAGAGAGAGAGGGTTAGCCTCTGCCCTCTGCCCTTAGCCTCTGCCCTCGTTCTCCTAGGTACTTAAGTGGCTGATCTTGCTTCCCCGGCTCAGTATTCATTTGTGGGCCGGAATTTTTCGCTCGCGCTGGCCGCCGAAGGCGGCCGACGCGTGAGAGGACGGCAAGCGCAGGCACACACTGTGATCCATATTCAAAAGTAGTACAAACATGGCATTCCCTACGTCAGCCTAGATAAGCAAATCGACCATGGGGCAACCGGAGCCCGCGCTTACATGCGGTGAGCTCCAAGGGCGTGAAGAACGCCCGTCAGGGAGCGCCACAGCTCCCGGACCACAAGCGTGCTTGCGCCGATCGCGGCGGCTCCAGAACCTGCACGCAAATGGCGCCTCAGGCTGCGTACAGCCTCATCGAGCTGCCCAGCAGCCACAACTCCACCCTCTACGGGCGCTGCCAGCACGGGCGCCAGCAACACTGCGAGCTGGTCGGCTGCGTCCAGGCACGACTCACGGTGGCGATCCTGGAATGTCTCAGGGGGAATTGCAGGAAGGGACGAATGCGCGAGAACCTGCAGAGCATGGAAGCTCTCCGCGAGGCGGAAGAGCTGGGCGAGAGTCGCCTCTGGAACGCGCGATTGTGGAGGCTGTAATGCCTGGGCCAGAAACTGAAACGGCTCCTCGAGGGAAGGAGCTGCTGAACCGCCAACTCCGGGATGAGGATACTGCGCTCCCACTCCCGCAGCCACAAATTCAACTCCCGCCACAGGCGGAACGGGCGGGAGACGAAGCCGAGACCCAGGAACAGGAGCAGAGGCAGCAACAGCGAGAGCCGACGGGGCCGGACTCTGATGAGGGACAGGTGCAGCCGGCGGCGGGCCCACAGAAAGCTCAGCCTGTCGAGGAGCAGCACGTGCCACGACAGCGTGAGAGCTGCCTTGGGTCAGGGCGGCCCTCTCCTCGCGCACCGCAGTTGACACCGCCCGCTGCAGATCCGCCATCCTCACGGGCGGATCGTACGCCCCACCACCTCCGCGACCGCGGGGACCCCACCAGCCACCGCGGCCGCCGTGGTTCGCGTGCCACTGGGCCTGCTGATGCGGGCGACGGGGAGAATTGCGCCGGCGCCGAGAGGATTGACGATCCTGCTGGGGAGCGGGAGAATGAGGGCGAGATGGGCGCCGGCTGGGTGACGGCGGGCGAGACTGCTGCGCCACAGGAGCAGTCGGTGGCACAACAGGTGCAGCCGGACCCCCAACCGGGGGCCCAACCAACGGGGCCGGGCCGCCAGTGGTGGCGGACGCCGCCTGCGGGGACGAGACAGAGGCAGGAGTCGGCAACTCAGGCGCGGTGACATGTCCCGCAGGCAAGGGAGCCGAGGGGTCGGCGACAGACTCCGGCGGTGCTGCGGGGGACGCCTGGGGTTCAGCCAGCACAGTCGGGGCAGATGGAACAGCAGCAGCAGTTGCAAGAGTCTGAGCGACTACAGTCGCAGGTGAACCAGGCGCGTCCGCGACAAGGAGAGCCGCGGGTCCGGGGGGAGGAAGCTTTTCAGAGGATGTTGTCGAGGGCTTCGGAGCCGGAGGCAGAGGGGGCTTCGTCGCCGTGGTCTCCCTTTCGGGCTCATACTGATGCCTGGCGACCATTGCCGACCAGGAGGCAGCGAGCTCTGGCGTCGGCTCAGGAGCACCGGCAATCACCATCGCGGGGACGAGGGGCTCAGGGAGAGAGGAGCCTGACAGTTAGCGGAGCGGGTGGAGGACCGGAGAACGGGTATCAGGCGGCAGGGCGTCGGGCTTTAATGGCTCTGGTAGCAGCTAATGAAGTCGAGGAGAGAAATGACCCCTCTTATACCGTGGAGGAACAGCCAGAGAGTGAAAACGAACAAGGGGATGGAGCAGAGATAACACGGGTAGGAACGGGAAGGAGAGGACCAGGTGCAGCCAGTTTACCCACGGCACAAACGGAGGAGCAAGTAGGGCCGTCCGTTGCTGATCGAACGGCTGGGAATCCGACTCGGCAGCAATCAGCGAGATCGAGCCGCGCTCGAAGAAATCGGACCGCGTCATTTCGCCAGGCGTCAGTCGCGAACCCGCAGCTGCCCCAGTATTTCTCGCCAGAGGAGTTGGCAGAGAGGAGCGACATGTTCGCTGACATCGCGAACTGGGATATTTCCGCTCTCTGCGATAGTCGACAACCGCCACTGTCAAGACGATTACCGCCAAACTTGTGCCAGCTATTTTCGCTGGCACTCCTGACACCCCTACACCACCTCTCGCGAAACCCTGATTCCGAGGCTGGCTGGCGACTACTTCTTTTCCTCCCGCGTCTAACCCTTCGCCAAGCTTCGCCAAAGCACCCAAACTGGCCGCAAATCAAGGCCCGGCTCCGGGCTTTCCAGCGTGGCGAGTGGACGCAGCTCTACCAAGACGCAGTAAACGCGGTCAACACCCCTCCACCCCCGCGTCACCAACCCGACGTGACAGGTGTATTGAGTCGAGCGGAGGGGTTGGCCAAACGTGGCAGTCTGCGCCGAGCCGTGTTGGCGCTCGAGTCAACACCTGTCTGCACCCCAAGTGTAGAAATCCTGGCCGAACTCCGACAGAAACACCCGCCAGCAGGGACGGAGGCGCTGACCTGGCAAGCAACCGACACCCGTCCCCTAGGCATTTCACACGCTGAATTTGCGAAGCTTCTTGGGCGATGCGATGATGGCGTGGGGGCCGGACCATCAGGCACCACATTTGAGCATCTCCGCGACGCGGCAATAATCAATGCAACCGTCTGCACCCATCTGCACGCCCTGGTAAACACAATTTTGGGTGGAAACCTCCCAGCCTCGGTAGCGGACCTGCTGACAGCATCTCGACTCATCGCCCTGGCCAAACCTGGAGGAGGTGCCCGACCAATCGCGATCGGCGAATGCCTGACGCGCCTGGCTGCCAAGGCTGCGCTGTTGGTCATGAGCGAAGCTGCACGTGAACACTTCCTACCCCTACAGTTCGGCGTGGCGGTGCCAAGAGGAGCGGAAGCGATAATTCATGCCGCCCGAACGTATGTGGACGACCACCACAACAGCCTGGTACTGCAGACCAACATTGCGAACGCTTTCAACAGCATTTCGCGACAATCCATCGCAGCAGCGTTACAAGAACCAACCCTGTCGCCGCTGCTCCCCCTGGTTCGCGTGACCTACGGTAACCCATCGCGGCTCTACCTGGATTCGAATTTTGCGAGCGAGCCCCTGCGAAGTGAACGAGGCGGTTGCCAGGGCGATCCACTGGGCCCACTCCTTTTTGCGGCGGGAATCCACCCCACACTTCGCGACACTGCAGCAGCACACCCTGAGGTGCCTTGCTTGGCGTATGCAGACGACGTGACATTTGTGGGTGAACCACGTGCAACTGTAGCTGCCTTCACCCACTTCACCACGAGGTTGGAATTACTGGGTTTAAAACACAACCCTCAAAAGTGTATCGCATGGAGCGCTGCCGCGGGCGATTCACCTGAACTGCCTCAAGGGGTGCCGTTCTGCAGGGACGGCGTCCGTCTGTTGGGAAGTTTCCTAGGGGCGGCCGACGGGGCAGCCGACGGGGCAGCCACGTTCTTGGCGGGGCAGCTGAAGGACATGGCGAAACCATTGCCACTCATCGAGCAGGCCGACCCACAGGTCGCCTCGCTGCTGATCACGCGCTGCATCTCCCGGCGCGTGGCGTATCTCACCCGAACAACCCCCCTCAATCTCGTGTCCCGGGATACATGGACTGAGTGGGGCCGTGACCTCCTCTTGGCACTACTCACCTCGTGCAACATTCGCGCTCCAGCGGGCAGAGCAGAGCAGTCACGGGTCTGGGCTCAGGCGTCCCTGCCCCCCTCTCTAGGTGGAATAGGCATTACAGACCCCCTCGTCGAGGGAGTTTACGGTTTCGTCGCGAGCTTCACGCAGGCGGCGCTGCTCTTCTCCGCGCTCGCGCTAGACCCGGACTCCGCACTATCTCACGCGCGCCGCCATATGCTCCTGCCTAGGGACGAGAGCACACCGCTTCACTCCTGGCTCGCCGAATGCGAAACCGCCCTGCCTTCTGACGCGCGAGAGCTGCTAGACCGGGAACGAATTAAGCGGACGGATGTCAAGCTGCAGCATGCCCTCGCTCTACAAGTACACGGTAGCCGCTACGCCGTGCAAGTACAGGCGACGAGAGACATGGAGCTGAATCCGCTTGCGGGCCATACGCAGCGGATGTTTTCTCTAACGGGCTATGGCACAGGGGACTGGCTGACGGCAATACCTATCGAGGCGACGAGGCGCATAGGACCGACACACTTTGCCAATGCCGTCCGATTCAGACTTGGGTTGCCCTTCTCCACCCCCAAAAACTGACTGCGTGGTTCGGGAGCAAGTCCGTAGACGGTGCGACGCGGCCTCAACGGCTCGTTGCCCCAGTCGATGGTGTCCCAAGGGTCGCGATGCGGCGGAATGTCAGGGGGAGGTAATGCGATTTGAGCACGGTGTGGGGGGCAACCAAGGGGAACAACTGCAGGTGTTGCCTTGGTTTCTTCTGCTCCCCCTTTTGTTCTTCGCGGGAAGCCTCCCAGCCGCCGGCAGGAGTGCCCCAGCCGCTGGTTTCGCCGCCAGATGCGGCGCCCCATCCGCCGGTTGCGGTTGCCCAGGTTCCGCCAGTGTTGCCCCAACCACCAGTGTCAGCCGTTCCCCTTTCGCCAGTGCTTCCCCACCCCCCTTCATTGGAGGCGCTTTCTTCCGCTTCGGCTCCCCATGCGCCGCAAGCGAATGTCCCGCGCGCCTCGGCGAGGCTCTGTTGGCGAAGTTCCTCAGCTTCCCGGCGTGCAAGGGGGTTTTTCTTTTGCCACGGTGAGTTTTGCTGAGGGATCGCGCCAGTGTGGGTAAGCTTTCTGGAATTCCTTCCGAGTGTAGGGGCGCAGAACTCCGCGTGCGTCGAAGGTACCGATGCCAGTGCCGCGCAGCATGCCTTGGAGATGCTGCGAGGGAGGTCCGACGAGAGGGTGTTCTGGTGTGCCGAACATACCGTGCGTGGTAATTTCGAGCTCCAGCTGTAACGTTCCTTCTTCTGGCGGCGCGTGGTGCTCGTTTTCAGCGATGACGGCAAGTCCGCGGCCGGCAATTGCGCTGGTTGACGCCGTCGGCGTGTGGCAGTCTCTGCAGATGCCGTCTGGGCCAGGGTCATGCAGCACTGTTTCGCGTGGGTGGGGGTGATGCGGCACCCACGGTCTTCCGTCAGGGTGCTTCCAGTCCCTGCGGATTATGTGCTCGAAGCGCAGTGGCACGAGGAAGATTAGCTCGTGAGAATCGCCGCTGCAGTCGGGAATGTCGAAATCCAAGACGTATACTCCATTTTCGGAGTGCGCTCTTCCGATCTACCTGCGGGGGAAGGTTCTCGACTCGTAGTGCAGCAGGATGTCGCGTGTCTCGCGGTCCGTGCTGAGATCGACGCCGTAGTCCATGAGTTGGGCGGCGGAAAGCAGGTTGAAGCGCAGATTCTGGACGATGAGCACATCGTTAAGCGTGATGCACGTGCGGCTTCCGCGTGCCTTGAGCACGACGATGCCTTGCGCGCTTGCGCGCAGGCGAGTGTTGTTCGCCACGGTGACGTAGGTGATTGTGGGGGTGGCAACGGCATTGGATATGTAACGCTCCGAGCCCACCATATGCTGGCCGCAGCAGCTGTCCAGGTACCAGGTATTGTAGCGCTTCCTGTCGTCACGTGCGAGCAGCGCCAGTAGCGGCGTGACGATGTGCCGAGTGTCAAACTTCAGAAATTGTTTGCGCGAGAGCCAATCGAGTGGCGCCGCCTGCAGATCCGGTACGTGCGGGGGGTTTTCAAGCAGCGGGACTAGGAGGTTCCAGTCCTGGTCGTCGTCGTCGGTGAAATCGTGGCACGGACTGAACGGATAATTATTGGTAAGCGTGCCAAGGGGATGCGATGCTGGCTCAGGTGAAGGTGAGTGTACGCGGCGATGACGCGACTCGCCCGTCATGGCCATGTTGCTCATGACGTTGCGGATTGTGGCAGATGATGAAGGCTGATGCTGCTGATGCTGAACCGCTGGGTTCAGGTTGCGCGCGGGTGGGGGTTGATACCCCTGGGCTGGACGCACATCGCCTCGTGCGTGTTGTCGGCCAGTCCAGTTGCTCGGATTGGTATGGCGAGGGTGATTTCGTGACTTGCATCGATCCGCCGCGGCCGTCGCTCTTCAGTGTTGTCGGCGTAGAAGGCGAGCCGTACTCGTTCTCGTCGTGGCGCTAGTCGCTGCTAATCCATATCCCGTTGTTCGACGAGAAGGGCGGCGCAAAGGGCGGCCTCCGAGATGACCCCCTGCTGTCGAAGAAGCGCCGTGCAGGGCCGCCACTCTGGGCCGAGCCCTTGAAGCACGATGTTCACGAAAATTTCTTCCGATATCAAGCTTCCCAACTTCGCGATTTGGTCGCGAAGGCTCCGACAGCGATTGATGTAGCTGTTGGCCTTCTCCCCTGAGGCCATTTTGGTTTGTAGTAGCTGCTGGAGCAGCAGGCTCGGAGAGATGGATTCCTTCGGCTGATACACGCCGTTCAGATGACGCCAAGCGTTGAGGGCTGGAGCAGGCAATGTTTTGTATGAGCGGATGCTCAACTGCTCCGCCGGCGACATATTCCGCAGGAGTACCCCGTACGCCATCAAGGATTCGTTGTAATATCTTGCTTTGGCGTCGTCGGTGTCTTCAGCGGGCCCCGCGTAACTCCCGTCAAAGTAATGAAAGATTTGGGCGTTCAGCAGCAGGAGCTCCAGTTCGAAGCTCCAGGTATAGAAATCTCTGCCATCAAAGCACACACTTGTCTTTATTTTTTATATGCTGAGAAACCTTGATTGCGCAGAGAGATTTGTCTCTTCACTGGGACAGGGAGTCTTGGGGGTTGAGCCATTTGTGTCGAGGGAGAAAGTGTGCGGGGCGGCGTTCTGGCCATTTTGGGGCGGTTGAGAAGGTTGGGAGGAGGTGCCCGCGTCGCCATTCCGCAATGTTTGGAGCCCTTGCTCCAAGCTGGTGAGTCGCTGAA